GTTAAAAACACAAAGTCCACGTAAAGAAGAATGCTATGCAGCCCATCGTGATCTCTTCCATAGAAAAAGGCCATCGTGGAAGGCAAAGTGGCTTGTTAGTTGCAGCCACTACGCGCGCACAGATCTAAAAAAACATGTCTATCGCTGCTAATCTCTTCCTTTCCAAGCCGCCAGGAACTGTAGGCCTGCTGCGATCGGATCTGTCCATCGGCTCGCACTGTCGCGCCGCCATCTAGAAGCGGAGAAGGGAAGGGGATGCCAGGACAAACATGCGTCGATCAACGGACCACGGACAGGTTGCCGGCAGGCCGGACGCATGGATGTGCGGCAACAACATGAGGGGAAAAGATATTTTATTTTCGCATCAGATTAGTTCGCGGCTTTACAAATTATTGAAGAATAATCATACACCGTAGGCATTAAGAATCAAATTATGTCATTTTCAGTTATTTATTTGTGCTTGTGTAGATGTGAAGAGGAAGAGAGCGGAATCAATTCATATTTTTTAAACCCGGTTGATTCAAGCTCTCAACAGTCGGAATATGATGCTACTCCAAACGATGTGCAACACTTCAATTGATGCCATGGTGTAAGCAAGAAGTATAATTTCGAACATTTAGAATTTCATAATACATGATATTTAATAATTTTTCTCTATTGATTGCATGAGGTGGTTACTGTCCAAATCATCTCCCTTCAGAGGAAAGATGAATATGGGGATTCCAAGAACCAAGGTAATAGCCGGAACATAATTTAGTTCTTATGCAAACTCCTAATCAAACAATTATGCCACTAATAAATTTTCATGAATCTACATCTCTTGTGTCGTTGTCTTTCTATTAGTTTGCTATATACCATTGTCCTTTTATCATTGCAAGAGGCGGGTTAGTTCTATTGTGAAATTAGTGTAAAGGGCGGGTTAACCTAAGAAAAAAAATCTCTTGCGCCGTTGTCTTTGCCCCCCCCCCCCTATGCTTAAGTCCTGTCTCCGTCCCTGTCCATAGGGAAAATCATTATGGAAGGCACATGGGTGGAGAGACTCATCCTCAGTAGGAGCAGCCGTAGCAGCAGGTTTCTTGGCCTTCTTGCCTTTGAGGTCATCAACATCAAGAGTCTTTCAGTTAGTGTAGCGCTTGTTCAGACCAGTGGGATAACACTGAAGCAACTTCTCCGGATCTGAACCCTGGCCTCGATCAAAACAAGAATGAATGGCGAAGACGCATGGCTTTCCCTCGAAGACACACAGGCGCAACTCCTCAAATGTGCAATCTCGGTGTTGGTTTCCATTAAAATCTTGGTTTCGATAAAAAGAAAGTAAAGTTGTTAGTCTCCTCTTCTTCTTTTTCTTCTTCTTCTTCTTCTTCTTCATGATTCCACTTAGGGGTGGACTAACGAGCAGCTCGGCTCGTTAAGCTCGCGCTCGTTAAGGCTCGTTAAGATTAACGAGCAGAAAACCCTGCTTGGCTCGGCTCGTTAAGCTCGTGAGCGCTTGCGAGCGCTCGTTAACAGATTATAATGTGTTATAATATACATGATGAATGTTTAGGTATGGTTTTCAAGATGAAATATGGAGACTACAAAAAGAAATGAAGTAGTTTGTTGCCTCATATGTCGATTAGATTAAATAGATGGGCTGAGGTGCTACAAAAAGTTTGTCACGTAAGATAAAAATATGTATTGTGTTGTTACTAACGAGCTTAACGAGCTACTCGTGAAACTCGTTAGCTCGCTCATTAAGCTCGTTAAGCTTAGCAAGCTAAAATCAATGATTGGCTCTGTTCATTAAGAAGCGAGCAACGAGCTTAACGAGTTGAACTATCGAGCGCTCATTAAGCTCGCGAGCTATGAGCTTTTGGTCCAGCCCTAATTCCACTATTAGTTTTCCATGCAATCAATGCGAACGACCAAGATTCTCTGATTTCAAAATATAATGAGCAATTAAGAACGGAAACCAACAAAAAAATGAAATGCAAGCAAGGAGAAAACTTTGGTAAGACAAGATGCATTTCAAAGTCGTCGTCAACCCCTGGC